TCCCCAGGCTTCATTACCCCCTTCTTACACCATCCTTTACTGAGGATGTGTTCCATGCCCGGCCCTAGGGGCTACAAAGTCAAACATTATTGTTAAGTAACTCAGATAGCAGCAAAAATTCAAATGATAATAAAAACAACAAAGGTGGAACTGGAGAGGTGGCTTAGCAGCTAAGAGCACTAACTTCTCTTCAGAGAACCCAGGTTCAAGTCCCAGGACCCACACAGTGGTTCACAGCTGCCTGTAACTCCAGTTCCAGGAGATCTGACAACCTAACATATGTGCAAGGAAAACACCAACGTACATAAAATAAAAATAAATAATTTTTTTTAAAAATCAACAAAGGTGCCAGGCACAGGCCTTTTCTCCCAGCATTTGGGAGGCAAAGGCAAGTGGATCTCTGGGAGTTCAAGCTCAGTTTGGTTAAAATAGAAAGTTCCAGGTAAGCCAGGTAAATGAGGCCCTGTCTCAAGTAGAGTACCACCACCACTGCCACAGCAAAACCAAAACCAAAAAGAGAGGACACAGCAGGGGTCGTGATCAAGAATCAGGAAAATGTTCAGCACTGAAATACAGGAAGGTATTACCAGTTTGAAACTATGTGTCATCTCTCTTTCAAATCCATTCACAAAAGTCCCTGCGTTTCTTTGGTCAGATTAGGGTCTCAATGCCTTTCCCATGTTGACCTCGAATTCCTGGGCTCAAGATATCTCCACTCTCAACCCTCCCAAGTAACTGGGATAACTGGAACTAGAGGTGTCTAGTTCTGCCCCTTTGAAGGTCAGAAGCTTTGCTCTCACATCTAAGCTCTCTGTGATCTGTTCCTCTTTCTTCTCTGGGACTTGGTTCCCTGTGGAAGCCATATGTCTTCCCATATGCTGGACTCACCTCTTCCCTCATCTCGGTGAGAACCACCTCAAACACCCCTACCCCCCAGGAGACTCTTCCATTTTCCCTTGGCAAAGGGCCCTTGTCTGTCTGAGCTCTGAAATGCTTTGCTGTTGGGACTATTCTTGATGACATCCACTGGCCATCCTTGTATGTGATGGTGTGATGGACTAGGTTACATGGCTGAGGACACAAGCTCCATGCCATCCTTTCCAGCACTGAGATGGGGGCATCATAGGGCCCCATTAAACCATGAATGGGTGGGGGGTGAGGAAATAGACGCATGGGTAGCTGAAAATGGAGAGGGGCTCAGATAGATGGCAGGTGAGTCGGTGGATAGATAAGTAAATGGATAGGTGGGATGTATGGATGCATGCATGCGTGCATGCATGAATGCATGAATGACTGGATGCATGGATGGAGCATCCATCCACAGAATGACTCCCCAATCCTATATAATGTGCTGGGAGGGTTCCCCAATTTGAATGTCACCCTTGCACAGACACCATGCTGATCTCCTCCCTATGGCTCCAATTTTAGTATATGTGTGAGTTCCCTGAAGGTAGACACATGACTGGATTTCTGTGCTCCTGGCACACATGGTAAATGGACGAGTGAACACATGACTAATTACAGGAAGACCACTATCCTATCCTCCATGGACACACTCTGCACACATCCCAAGTCCCTCTCTGTGGTAGCGGTTTCTCCTGCCTCCCGCTCCTCTCTCAAGAACATATCCACACCACTGATCTCTCTGGTGTCACAGTTACAACTTGTGTCTGTCTGGGTTTCCTTATCCAGCTAGCCTCAGGACACCTCCGAGTTCTCCTAAATCTGAAAAGGGCAGGGTTCCTGACTTCCCTAACACCTTATCAAGTATGACAGAAGTGTGGGGTAGAAAATATTTCAAGGAAGAACTGGGCTGCTGGGGAATCCGAGAGTCCCTATTTGGGGTCCCCTGTTAACCTAAGATCTGGTGCCCCTAATCAAGTAGTTCCCCTGCACCTGCTGTCTTTTCTCCCAATCAGAGAGGCAGTTCCAAGGAGGGGGATGGTTGTGGCCTCATTCGGGAGGCTGGGTGGCTAGCAGACACAGCTAGATTTAGAAGTCATTTTCACAGCAGGGAGTCTCTAACCTGCCACCCACAGGGCCCCGTGGGGACAGCCTAAGATACTACTTACCCGGGTCTGGCCTGAACCCTGTAGCCATTCCTCTCTCTCTCTCCTTCTCTCCCAGAACTTTGGTGGCTGGTTCTGACTTCATCCTTGGCAAACTCTGGAAGAAGGCATGTGTTTCCCCACACCCTAAAGACCCAAATGGTTCTTGCACGAAGGAGGCGGCTGTTATCTAACCTAGGATTTGTATTTTTCAGTGCTGAAACTCAAACTCAGGACTTTGTACTGTCTAGGCCACCATGCTACTGCTGAGCCCTTCAACCTTCCTCTCCTGGGGACGGGCTGTGCTCCCTGACCCCTTCATTTTTAGAGAGAGAATCTTGATGGGCTGGACAGGGCTGGAATTCACTATGTAAACCAGGCTAGGCTCAAACTTACAACCATTCTCCTATCTCTGCCTCCAGTTTACAGGAAAGTGCAACCATGCCTGGCGTCTCTTTTTAAAATATATGTTTGTTTTTGCCTGGATGCCCTGGAACTCACTCTGTAGACCAGGCTGACCTTAAAACACCCAGAGATCTGCCTGCCTCTGCCTCCTGAGTGCTGGGATTAAAGGTGTGCACCACCAACCAAGTTCCTTTCTAACTTGTATCTAAATGTCATCTCCTCCATGGACTTTCCCTGGATCTTATAAAACTAGGATCTCCCTTGATAGGCTCCTCCCAGAATTTGATGCAAGAGCCCAGTTCTTTATCACATTGCCAGGCGGGCCTTGCCATTTCTGCTCTTTCTAGCCCAGGCGGTGCTCAGAAATAGCAGTGAAAAGGGTAAAGACCTTTGATACCTTTGATCTTTGCCCAGCGTGACCTGGCCCCTCCTTGCCCTCCTCCACCGAGAGCAACGGGAAATGTGTAGGTGACAAACAGGACGGCAGGTGAATATTCCTGGGAAGATCCGACTAGTGAATGCCGCCCCTAGATTTGGGAAACCCGAATGGGAGACCCGCGGCTGGCTGTGGACCGGGAGCCCTGCCCCCTCCGCGTCCCGCCTTTGGGTCTCTCCGGGTGTGTTGTCAAGCTAATTGGAGAATGAAAGTCTAAGTGGTTTGAAAGCGGTCTAAAGAGTTGCGGGAGTCGGGGTTGGCGGGATTCGATGGGAATAGGGACAGAGGCGGGGCGGGGGATGGGTTCGACCTGGCGACCGAGTCTGGGCGAAGCCCCCGCTCCTGCCCAGTGGCTAAATTTACCTAGACTGACTCAGCCCTTGCCCGGAATGGGGGGGCGGGGTGGTGCACGAGGGCAGAGGGAAGAGCGGGCAGGGGTGGGGCAGGGGGACAAGAAAAGGAGAGTCCCAGCCAGGGAGACAGGATGGACCCGAAGTTTCCACCAGCGAAGAGTGCCCCCCCCCCCGCCAAGAAGGCTCGAGGGAGGGACAGGTGGGGCTAGATCAGCAAAGAAAGACTCCAGAGCTGCATAAAGGGAAGAGTAGATTTATTGGGTGCCTACTATGTGCCAGGCACTCTGCAAGGCGCCTTATATACATTACCGCATTAAATCCTCACAACAACCCTGCGAGGTAGGTGTTTATAAACCCCCATTTGACAGATGAGGAAACTGAGGCTCAGGGAGGTGAAGTGATTTGGCCAAGGTCACATGGCTAGTAAATGGCAGACACAGAGGAAGTGCCCAAGGTTGGAAAGAAGAAGAAGAGGAAAAAAAAAAAAAAAGACTTAAACGTCAGTCTTAATAAGCCTGTTGGCGTGGATCAATACAAAGAAGGGCTCGGCGCGCCCCAGAGGTCTTGGAGACCGGAGGCCTGCTCCCGGCCCCGCGCGCGGCTTGGAGGTGTCAAGGCGGGAAACTGGCGCTGGGTTACTAGGGATCCAGATAACTAGGTAACTGGCAGTGCTGGTGTGGGGGCACTCGAGCACCAGCAACCGGGGGAATTCGCGACCTGCGCGCGCCCCGTAGTGGCTCCAGCGAGTATCACACCCCACTCCGACCGCTGAAGATCAGCCTCCCCCCCCCCCTCGCCTGGCTGTTTTCTAGGAGAGATGCAGAAATTGTCGGGGTCCTGTAAGGAGGGCGATACCATCTGCGTGGGAAGTCCCGGTAACACTTGAGAGCATCACTAGGGACACGGAGATGGAGGAAAGGGGGAAGGCCTCAAAACGTCCCAAGCTGATTCGTTGGCTACCTTCCCTCTCTGTGCAGCGATCTCTGTGGTCCACCACAGGCCAGAGGCAGAGATCGGGCTGGTATCCTGCTCTGCCTTGCGAAACACTCACCTAAACTTGGGAAGTTGGGATAGAAGCCCTTTGTCCATTTAGATCTGAAAACCTTGACAGTCTTCCGAACCGAGGAAGAGTGAACCGGGTAAGAGCCCTCAGATTCTATTCACTTATCCCCCAAGTTCCAGGGACGGAAGAATGGGCGGCAGAGATCGCCCATTTGACATTTACAGGAATCCGGGATGGTTAGGTGCAAATGTAGTTACTTAGTCTAGGGTCTACCAGCAGCTAAGTGGCAGAGCTGGAACTGAAACTTGAGTTGTAACATCAAAGACAGCCTCTTCCCAGTTTGCTGGTTGTGTATGCATCCATTCCTTCTCTGCCAAAAGCCCCTCTGCCACCTGATCACGTAGTCCCTAGGTTCAAGGCCTCTCCATTATTTTTTTTCTCCTGCCAGGGATCCTGACCTGACCATTGCTTTCTTATAACTGCCACCATTCCCTGCCCTTTGGCTTGTCTCTCTGCTCAGTTCTGCGCAGCGCCGCCGAATCGTAGCAGGGTTGAATCCTAGCCCCATCTCCCCTGAAGCTAGTGCTTGGATTGGCGATTGCTGTCTTGCCTCTCTTTCCTCTATTTCAAGTGTGGGAACAGGTATAGGTGGGAAAGAAGAAAAGGGAAGCAGACGAAGCCTGTAGATAGTAAAGGAGGCCAGTGAGCCCAAGGATGGATGGGCTGAGCCACACGAGAACAAAATGGGGCATCGCTCACTCTCTCTCTCTTTTCCCCTGTGGCGTTTTCCTGGTGTCCTCCCCGAAGGGGCCTTCCTCGGTTTGACTGATGACATCTAGAATCTCCCGGATGCTGTCGCTCACTTCGGCTCTCTTCCCGCCTTCCCTGGGATGGGAGTTTCCAACCGCAGGCAGGGTCCTCTCATTCCGCCAGGAGGCGCCTGGGGCGTCTGTGTCGCTTCCATCAGAGGAGCCACTATGGACGCTGAGCTCCTCAGCTTCATCTGAGTCCGAATCTGGGGCGGTGTGGCGGCGGATGCGGGACACGGCTTCCCGCAATGCCCCGGCGTAGGGTCCTGGAGTCCGCGCCCAGCCCCCGCCCGTGCGCCGCAGGACCCCAACTGCTTCTGAGCCCTTCACGCTGCCTGCGCATCCTGGAGCCGCTGGGCCTAAGGTCGGGTGCTCAGGGCTACCTGGCTGCGTGGGGGCGTCTCGTAGGTTCACTTCACAAACAGGAAGCCCTAAACTGCAGGAGGCGCGGTCCTCCAGTGAAGAATCCCCCCGCTCTCCTCCCTCGGCTTCGCACTCGCGACCCCCGCCCGGCTGGTTTGAGATGCCACTGCTCAACAGTAGCTTTTGGCAAACTGAGGGATTGGCAGCGACCCCCTCACCCTCCTCGTGGCAGGGCTTGGGTTGCCTGGGGCTGTCGTTCCCAATGCATGGCTCCCCAGAGGGCAAGAGCTGCACCTGCTGGGTCCGAAGGGTCGGAACATACTGGGACTTTATCACCACGCACGTGGCATCAATGACAAAGATGCCTTCTCTACGAGAGGGGCCTCGGGAACTGCGGGGCAGGGTGTGGGCACGGCGGGTCGCCTTCCAAATTTCCAGGGTTTCATGTTCTGTCCCCTCTCTTTGACCCAGGGACTCTCTCCACCCGGTGCCTCCAGGAGCCCAGGGTCTGGGGAGAGTCTGGCTGTGCCTAACTGGAGGCTTTGTAGGGGAGGAAAGCCAACACCTGGGAAGCCAAATATGTTCACTTCCTTCTTTCCTTTCCCTTGAGCCCTTAAGGTGCTGCCTGGACCTGGGAGCAGGACATGGGGGGCTGCGGGTCGTAGACCCAGCGGGAGCTGCCTCCGTGGTGCCTGGACTGCCAGTAGCTTTGGCTTGGGGACGGCCCTCGCCACCACTGTTCAGGCCAGCAGCAGCTAGGCCCGAGCTTTTCTCTATCGCCCCTTTGCAGGACTCTGGCCTGGCTCTGGCCGCTGCACAGCCCGGAGCTCCTCCTAAGAGTCCCCGTCCCTGTCTGAGACCCCAAGCCCCTAGAACATCCCGGTAGATTCGAGGATCCAGCCTCTTCTTCGCGCGCCCTGCCTCTGTCCTGGTGGCGACTGGAACTGGGGCTGATGAGGTGGGCGCCCGGGAGAGCTCCGGGCCTCGCTTAGTCCCCAGGGTTCTGTGGGGGCCTTCATAAGAAGGTGGAGCCACATAGGGTGGCGGCCGGTCCCAGCGGCGTCTTGGGGCTGTGCCTGCAGCGCCTCTCAGCAGCAGGTGGGCCTCGTAGCTAGGGGGCCCTGGTCTCCTACCTCCCCATGGCCCCACCCATGCCACCCCTGGGTCACTCTGCTGGAGCGCGGATGGACGGGGCGCTCGCCCCACCTGCCCGAAGCGCTCTGGTCTGGAGAAAACTGGGAACCCTGTTGGTTGGGCCGCCCGAAGGGCGTTCCGGGTCTCTGGGCGGGGCTGACCTAGGGGACTCCGTCGGGCCCCGCCAGCCTTGCGCCTTTTTCTCTCGGTCTCCTTGGCCTCCCGCTCCTGCGACGCCGCCTTCCTTTTCTCTTGTTCCCGGGCTCGGACCTCGGCGAGGGTCCCCGCCCGCCAGTTGGTCGCCTCCTGCAGCACCCTGGTGGCCCAGGGTCGGCGGGGTGGCGGCTCAGGGGATCCTGGGCGTAGCCTACACCTGGGACAATGAGCAGGAACCCAGGTGAGCAGTTTGTGGGGAAAGGGAGCCGAGGTCCGGGGAGCTGGGAGTACTGGAGACCACTTGGGGCAGCCATGTGGGAGGGTACGCGTGAGTGTGTGTGCGAGTGCACGTGCATATATGTTAGGGCTGAAGTCGAAACGAGACCCCTCGCCATCTCTCCACGCACACTTTAACAGCGACTGCCCCATCTCACCTCCTGCCCTTTCTCACTACCTCTTCTGTCCCCATAAACAGCGCTGAATAAGTCAGGCCCCAGTCCTCGACGAGTAGGGGGAGGGAAGCGCGGGAAGAGAAGGGGCCAGGAGTAATTGCTGGTGCCAGCGGGGGAGGTCTGGACCCCACTTCCCACCCCACCACTTGCTGCCCCTCACCCCCTCCTTCACTCACGTGCGGCTCTGGGGCCCACGGGCCCAGTAGCTGGCCTGGATGTCCATGGACTGTCGAGAAGGGGCGCGACGACTATAATGACAGGAAATAGTCTTCACTTCAATCACCAACAGCTTGGACTTCTGCACCCAAAGGCAGCTGCCCAACTCCTCATCCTGTAGCTCCCGGGGGCTGTTGGGCCCCTCGGAGAATAACGGGCCATCCAGCATCCTGCCCCACCCCCCCCCGGCCCCCCACCCTCCCACCCGCCCCGTGAGCCCCCTCCCAACTCAGGGAGCCGGCGCCCACTGCAGAGCGGCAGGCCCAGGGACTGGCAACTATATATACCCGGGCACACGTGTGTGCCTGCCTGTGTGTGTGTGCTCGCGCGCGGGCGCGCGCGCATGTGACACGCCGCCGTGGACGGCTCCGCGTTGCTACCTCCCCCATGTACACGGACGCCCCCTGGGGCCTGGGATTGGACGCCCCTTCCCACTGCTCGGGTCCCCCAAGCCTAATGGGACCCACAAATGGGCGGAGGAGAGACTTCTGATTCTTACCAAGCTTACAGTGCCCCCTCCTCCAGCCCCCATTTCTGCACACTTCCCGAAGTTTTAACCCTTCGCTTTCCTGCTTGTCAGGTTGCCTGACCACCAGTGATCTATCCCTGTCTGCCTGGACTCCTTTTCTCCGACAGGGAGTGGTGAGAATAGAACTAAGGTCTCTGCCTGCCACTCTCTGCTGGCTTCCATGGGGTTGGGGTGCAGGAGAGGCTGGCCCACAGTTGGGGGGAGGGGGCGGGCTATTTTTAGCGTCGGTGGCATTCGGGTGCGGATGAGTAACCAGTTCAAGCAGTGGAGAGAAGCTTTCAAGAAGCTTTTGTGCGACTCTGGGGGACAGCTGCTTCCCCAGGCCCTCCCCCCAACGGTGGCTCCAGCAACCTTCACTCCTCACCTTTTTCTCTGCAGGTGTGTAAGGCAGAACTCAGTCTGTCCTGGCCACCTAAGCAACAGGACAACTCTCACTCTAGATATGGGTGCCCTTGGGCATGCTGGCATCCCTAACCCAGAAGCCAGGATTCTGGGATTACATAGTTCTGTGCCCACACAGTTCTACCAAGCCTTATGTGGGGTGCAGACAGAGCGCTTATATACACTTGTACCCTAACAGAGGGGGATGGAGAAAGAATGGAGTGCCAAATCCCCTAGCAACAGAAAGGATAAAAGTAGCCTGCCTTTCCTAGGATGTCTAGTTCACAATTGTCTAGTTCACTTGGCCACCCTCAAGTGCAGCTCACCTTTTGGACTCTGTTCTGGAGTGGGGGTTGTTGCTTGCATCCTCAGGCTTCCTCCCCCTAAGCCTGTACCAGGTGTCCCCTGATTCACCATGGTAATGTAAGTAGCAGCACAGCCCACGCCAACCCTTCCATGCAGAGACTTAGCAACCATGCCTGGCAACCATGGCAGCAGCTCAGTGGAGTGGAGGGGTGCAGGGAGGGGGGGGGGAGAATGGCAACGGCTCCTGAGGAAGAAGGGACCATTTGCTTCTCCTGACTTTTGAGAGCAGAAGCTTGTGAGCTTCCATATTGTAGTAACCCTTGAGTCTTCAGCACCATCCTCAGATGGAGACTTGGTGGGGATTTAGGGGGTAAATGAGAGATCCCAGTTTGTAGTTCAAAAAAGTACATGGAACATTTGGGTACAGAGACTTCTTTTTAAGGGGACAGGGACCAGAAGGGTTATTAAAAGGGCAGAGACAGGACTCACTGAAGAATGGGCAAGTAGAACCCGCCTCTCTGCTGTCCCATCCTTTCCCCCCTCATGATACCTTGCACCTACCAGCTGTACTGAAGAGGGCTTCCAGGTGCTGCTTTCCACGAGGTCCCACCAGAGTCCCACAGCTTTTAAAGCCTTGTCTCCTCCCTAGACAAATCCTCCTCGATGAAGGAAAGTGACACAAGGAGACATTTGTCCTTCCCACCACGAGTCCCCCTACACACATACACATAAACACGCTCTAATTGGAAGCCTTCCTCCCCCAAGCTTGGGAATGTGCTGAGAGCTGTGAGGACAGAAGCAGGGGCAGTGGCTCAACCGCCAGCACTGCAAGCTGGCCTCTTCAAGGAGATGATGTTTCCCTGGGTCCCCTTAGGAAGCCTGCTTTGGAAGAACAAGAGTAATATGGCAGAGGTTCCTCTGAAGGCATAGGCAAAGGAACGAGAGCCAAGGAATTATTCAGAACCTACTCCTGGCTTGGATGCAAACTGTCCTATCAGCAAAGCACTGGTAGAAAGGAACCCAGTCTGGCGGTACTCGTGGTGTTGGGTGCCACGTTCAGTCTAAGGTTTCAGCACAGACGGTGGGTCTGGTGGGCTGATTCTTTATGATTTACTCTCCAAGAAAGGGAAGGGATCTGTGGGCTCACAATACCAGTCAAAATCCAAACAATTCAACCTTTCCCTAGAACCCCTGATAATGTTGTCAGATCTCTCTGAATTTACCCTGGACCCTAACTATGGTTCAAGATAAGAGAACTACAGGAAATAAGATAGGAACAGTCCTGAGAGGAGAATTAGAAAGGAAAACTAGTGTAAAGACAGGGAAGCATAAAACCTTGAACCAGACAGTTAAAGTTTAAACATTAGCCTTATTTATTTATTTATTTGAGACACAGTCTTACTATGTAGCACCTGGAACTTGCTATGTAGATCAGGCTAGCATCAAACTCAAGAGATCTGTCTGCCTCTGCCAGAACTAAAGACACGTCTCCATACCTACCGGCTCTGCTTTAAAAACACTGATTCATGAATATGCAGCAAGGTGTGTGTCGGTGCATGCCATGAGTGCACATGGGCGTGAGAGGACAATTTTGTGGAGCCTGTTTTTTCTCTACCTCTAAATGGGTTCTGGCAACTAAACTCAGGTAGCTGGGCTTGCGTGGCAAGTACCTTTACTGTTAGCTCTGCTTTTTATCAGGTTTGTGGCTCTGGGCCAACTTGTAAGTATGTGCTTCTGTCTCAAATTCTCTTAAAACCACTAAAGGTTGCTGGGCAGCAGCAGTGGTGGTGGCGGCAGCAGCGGTGGTGGTAGCTGTGGCCTAGGACTTTAATCACAGTACTTGGGAAGCAGAGGCAGGTGAGTTCTAGGACAGCCAGGGCTACATAGAGAAACCCTGTCCTGTCTTGAAAAACCAAACCAAACCAAACAAACAAAAATAAACAGAACTAGAAAAGGAGCCCGGGAGATGGCTCGGTTGGTAAAAATACTCGCCTCAAAAGCTTGAGGAACTAAGTTCAGACCCCTAGAACCAACATAAAAAGCCTTATTTGGTAGTGTGTGCTTTTAATTCCATGGGTCCTTGGAGCAGCAACTCCAAGCTGCCCAGCTGACCCTGCCTATGTGGTGAAATCCCAAGCCAGTGAGGCCAGGCAGTGGTGGTGCATGCCTTTAATTCCAGCACTCGGGAGGCAGAGGCAGGTGGATCTCTGTGAGTTCGAGACCAGCCTGGTCTACAGAGCTAGTTCCAGGACAGGCTCCAAAGCTACAGAGAAACCCTGTCTCAAAAAAGAAAAAAAAAAAAAACAAGCCAGTGAGACACTGTCTCAAGAAAAAAGTGCGAGACCAAACCAAACCCTGTGTCAAATAAAGTGCAAGGCGAGGGCTGTCACCCAAGGCGAGGGCTGTCACCCAAGGCGAGGGCTGTCACCCAAGGCTGCCCTCAGCCACCACTACCACACACATGCATACACAAAAGGTTGTTTTGTTGGGTTTGTTTGTCTGTTCCCCAACAGGGTTTCTCTGTGTAGCCCTGGCTGTTCTGAAACTCACTCTGTAGACCAGGCTGGCTTCAAACTCAAGAGATTGCCTGCCTCTGCCTCCTGGGGATTAAAGGCATGTGCCACCATGCCCAGCTCACAAAGACCTTTTTTAACGACTGACCCTGGAGCAGCAGCAGCAGCATGCGCCTCTAATCCCAGAGACTGACCCTGGTGTGGCAGCATGTGCCTATAATCCCAGTACTTAGGGGTCAGAGGCATGAAGACTGCTGCAAATCTGAGGCCAGCCTGAGCTAAATATGGTGCAAAATCCTGTCTCAAAAAAAATCATAAATTCTCCCCAAACCAAAACACTTATGGTCCCACACAACCACTGTAGTTAAAGCATTGAGAACATGTGCTTTTATATGTACTATTATCACTGCTGTTAATAACGAGTTGAAGCAGCTTCATGGAGTAAGGTTGTCGAAAGTGTCTATCAAATGCAGAAATCAAACACCACAATACCATCATGAAAACCTCATCATTTAATTAGATTTGCCACAAAAAGCATTAATCTTGGCTACCTACCCATTGCCCTCCTCCACACAGCCATCTGCCTTCACATGCACATAGAACAGGAACCCAGACATGCACCTCCCCACAAGATTCATGGGAAGGAACGACATTAAATGGACTCAAGCCTCCTCCACAGAAATGAAGCAGGATGAATAGATATATTTTTAAGAAGACCTTTGCAGAGACAGGTGGAGCACGGGGAGGGGGAGGGATCTCTTAGAGATCAGAATCTGCCTGAGGAGCACAAAGCCCGTGGTTCACCCAGAAGCGGGCCAAGTCTAAGGGCACGGGTTCTAGGATTGGCTAGGCTGAACGTTTTCTCAAATGTACACATGATGGCAAGGGAAGCTAAAGTCTTTTCTCTTCATTGCCCTGTCTCCTCTAGTTCCAGACAGTGGCTATGAAGCTCCTGAGGGAACAGACTCAGTTCCTCCAGGATTTCATGATTCCCAGAGATTCCAGGAGGCAAGGAGGGGCCAAGGAGGGGACTGGAGCTGCCGGCCCCTCCCCGTGCTCAGGGCTTCTTCTCTCCACCTGTGAGCACCAGAGCCTGCAGGATGTCAGACAGCGACACAATGCCCTTGACCACATCATTCTCATCCACCACCACCAGACGGTGAACCTGGAACAGAGCACCAAGAAGTAACGTCAGTGCCAACCTCAGTTAGGGCGAGGGCCTAGTGGCTTGAGGGGGTGCTGGCTTCCTACCTCCGCCTCCACCAGTCTATTGATGATGGTCTCCAGCGTCTCGTGGAGATAGCACTTGAGAACACCCTCAAAGTAGTGGGACCGGTGCTGCAGAGCTTTCGTCACAGACACATCTAGGTTGTTGTAGGTCTTTTCTGCTGCCAAATTCTGGAGGTGGGGGGTGTGTGCTTGAAAGGGGCCAGGTCCCAA